CTCAGGTATCACTGTGCCATGGACACCAGAGACAGGGGATCAAGAACAATGCAGGCACCTCCCTCAATACGCCTGCACTTGCCTGGGTAAACCGTGAATAAGGACAGGGCTTTGTTCCTGGAGATTGATTGCACAGTGCCTCCTGCATTGTCAGTGCTATGGAAAGGTAGCGCTAATATGGGGTTAAATTGTCTACAAGATCTGCTCAGTGCAGGAGATGGGGTCAGGGCCGGCTTTAGGTCAATTCAACCAATTCCCCTGAATCGGACCCCGCGCCCAAGCCCCGGTACCAGGGTGGCCCGGCTTCCCCAGGGGGCAATTTAAAGGGCCTGGGGCTCCAGCCCCAGGCCCTTTAAATTGCCCCCAGAGCCCCACTGCTGGAGCCCTGGGGTAGGGCTGTGGGGCTCTGGGGGCTATTTAGAAAGTCCGGGGCTCCCGTTGCTTCTACCACCCCGGCCCTTTAAATAGCCACTGGAGCCCCACCGCTTCCCCAGGGCTCCCATGGCTATTGAATGGGCCGGGGCGGTAGAAGCAGGGGAGCCCCGGGCCTTTTAAATAGCCCCCGAGCCCTGGGCTGCTGCTGCTACCCAAGTGGGGGAGGCAGGAGGAGGGGGCACTTACCGTACAGGGTGGGCTGTACCCGCACCCCCTGCCTGCACCAGCCCCACACCTCCTGCTCTGCCTGCAGCCAGCCCCTGTCTCCAGCCAGCCCCGCACCCCCTGCCCTGTCTCCAGCCCCACACCCCCTGCCCTGCCCGCACCAGCCCTTGTCTCCAGCCAGCCCCGCACCGCTTGCCCTGCCTGCAGCCAGCCCTGCACCCCTGCCCGCAGCCAGCCCCTGCCGCACCCCTTGCCCTGTCTCCAGCCAACCTCTGCTGCACCCCCTGCGGCCCTGCCCAAAGCCAGCCAGCCCCACACACACCCCTGCCCGCACCTACCCTGCCTGTAGCCAGCCCCGCACCCGCTGCCATGTCTCCAGCCAACCCCTGCCGCACCCCCCTGCCTAAAGCCAGCCAGTCCCGCACTCCTCTGTCTCCAGCACTGCCAACCCCTGCCGCACCCCCCTGCGACCCTGCCTGAAGC